TTTTTTCTCCTCCCAGGCCCCGCGTGCCAAGTCCGCCTGTGTCCCCCAGGCACCCCCCTTCCCCCCCTTCCCGGGGTCTGCCTCGACGGCCGGTGAGTGTCCTTTTTCGTCTCTCCCAGGTCCGCGTGTCCAGGAGTCCGCCTGTGTCCCCTCAGGCATCCTCCCTTCCCCACTTCCCCAGGGTCTGCCTCGACGGCCGGTGAGTGTCCTTTTTCGTCTCTCCCAGGTCCGCGTGTCCAGGAGTCCGCCTGTGTCCCCTCAGGCATCCTCCCTTCCCCACTTCCCCAGGGTCTGCCTCGACGGCCGGTGAGTGTCCTTTTTCGTCTCTCCCAGGTCCGCGTGTCCAGGAGTCCGCCTGTGTCCCCTCAGGCATCCTCCCTTCCCCACTTTCCCAGGGTCTGCCTCGACGGCCGGTGAGTGTCCTTTTTCGTCTGTCCCAGGTCCGCGTGTCCAGTAGTCCGCCTGTGTCCCCTCAGGCATCCTCCCTTCCCCACTTTCCCAGGGTCTGCCTCGACAACCAGTGAGTGTCCTTTTTCGTCTCTCCCAGGTCCGCGTGTCCAGTAGTCCGCCTGTGTCCCCTCAGGCATCCTCCCTTCCCCACTTCCCCAGGGTCTGCCTCGACAACCAGTGAGTGTCCTTTTTCGGAGTCCACCTGTGTGAAGGCCAGGTGCTCCCCCTTCCCCACTACCCCCACACCCCAACCTTGCACCCCCCCCCGGTCCGTGGTTCCAGGAGTCCACCTGTGTGAAGGCCAGGTGCTCCCCCTTCCCCACTACCCTCACACCCCAACCTTGCACACACCCCGTCCCGGGTCCGTGGTTCCAGGAGTCCACCTGTGTGAAGGCCAGGTGCTCCCCCTTCCCCACTACCCCCACACCCCAACCTTGCACACCCCCCCCGGGTCCGTGGTTCCAGGAGTCCACCTGTGCGAAGGCCAGGTGCTCCCCCTTCCCCACTACCCCCGCACACCCCAAGCTTGCACACCCCCCCGGGTCCGTGGTTCCAGGAGTTCACCTGTGCGAAGGCCAGGTGCTCCCCCTTCCCCACTTCCCCCACACCCCAACCTTGCACCCCTTCCCGGGTCCGTGGTTCCAGGAGTTCACCTGTGCGAAGGCCAGGTGCTCCCCCTTCCCCCCACACCCCCCAACCCTGCACCCCCCCGGGTCGGTGGTTCCAGGAGTTCACCTGTGCGAAGGCAGGTGCTGCCCCTTTCCCCCACTTCCCCCACACCCCAACCTTGCACTCCCCCCCCCGGGTCCGTGGTTCCAGGAGTCCACCTGTGTGACGCCAGGTGCTCCCCCTTCCCCACTACCCCCACACCCCAATCTTGCACCCCCCCCGGGTCCGTGGTTCCAGGAGTTCACCTGTGCGAAGGCCAGGTGCTCCCCCTTCCCCAGTTCCCCCACACCCCAACTTTGCACCCCCCGCGGTCCGTGGTTCCAGGATTTCCCACCTGTGCGAAGGCCAGGTGCTCCCCCTTCCCCACTTCCCCCACACCCCAAACCTTGCACTTTCCCCCCGGGTCCGTGGTTCCAGGAGTCCACCTGTGTGACGCCAGGTGCTCCCCCTTCCCCACTACCCCCACACCCCCAAACCTTGCACCCCCCCGGTCCGTGGTTCCAGGAGTTCACCTGTGCGAAGGCCAGGTGCTCCCCCTTCCCCACTTCCCCCACACCCCAACCTTGCACCCCCCCCCCCCGGGTCCGGGTTTCCAGGAGTCCATCTGTGTGACGCCAGGTGCTCCCCCTTCCCCACTACCCCCACACCCCAACCTTGCACCCGCCCCCGGGTCCGTGGTTCCAGGAGTTCACCTGTGCGAAGGCCAGGTGCTCCCCCTTCCCCACTACCCCCACACCCAACCTTGCACCCCCCCCGGGTCCGTGGTTCCAGGAGTCCACCTGTGTGACGCCAGGTGCTCCCCCTTCCCCACTACCCCCACACCCCAACCTTGCACCCCCCCCGGGTCCGTGGTTCCAGGAGTTCACCTGTGCAAAGGGCCAGGTGCTCCCCTTCCCCACTTCCCCCACACCCCATCCTTTGCACTCCCCCCCCCCCGGTCCGTGGTTCCAGGAGTCCACCTGTGTGATGCAGGTGCTCCCCCTTCCCCACTACCCCCACACCCCAACCTTGCACCCCCCCGGGTCCGTGGTTCCAGGAGTTCACCTGTGCGAAGGCCAGGTGCTCCCCCTTCCCCACTTCCCCCACACCCAACCTTGCACCCCCCTGGGTCGTGGTTCCAGGAGTCCACCTGTGTGAAGGCCAGGTGCTCCCCCTTCCCCACCGTCCAGTTCGCCCACCAAGGCCTGGTCACTCAGTGAAAATTTGGGAGTTCTATTTATCTTACACAATTCATCAACATTAAATATAAGTTTCTTTTTGTGCTTAATAAGCAGCTTAATATATACCGTGAAACTTTCCTTCGCTACATTTAAACTACATTAAATATCCTACTACACAAAATTATATATTTCTTATCAATTTATTAACATATATAAAAGATGTAATATTAATCAGCTGTTCCAGACAAATAAACTGACAACCTAATTTACGTAAGTAGTCAACACATCAGATTTATTATAATTTTGCACGTGAAGCGCTAAACTCATGGGAGTCATGCAGCTCCACACTCAGTTCCTATTTGTATTTAACTTGAGGGGGAACCTCAGAAGAAATATCGGTAATTACTGAACCATTATTATGCTACGATAATAGGAAGAAAATCAGGAAGACCAGGCTGAGAGAGGGAGGAAAAAAATAAAAAGACCGGAACAAGAGACGAAAATAACAATGAGCTAATTCTCTTAGTACTGAAATGTGGCGGGTGGTGACCGTAGACTTTGTCAGTATACATTCTTCATGATAGTCGTACTGTTTTCTACCGTGTTTACCATGTCCTTTTCTAAACGATCGCAAACAATACATGAATTATTTATTCGTTATTTAACGTTTAACCTAGATTGGTTTCTAATTAATTCTCAGTTAACGCGCAAAATAACGAGATTAAATAATGTGAAGAGGAAGAATCAATTAGCGGGAGGAGTTATGTGTGGTGCGACGAGCTGCAGTTAGACATTTATACTCAGACTAGCAGTACTCTGTTTTGTTTCTACCTAAAACTGTTCTAATTGTGTATCTATGTCTCTGCCTGTATATTTACATGATACATACTTTCTAAATTATATTTACATTTGTAAGTTAAAATTATATTTTTTGCAAATATTCTTCGGTAAATCAGTTTATTAATTATGGACTATTTTTACGAGAAACCATCGCTGACTAAATAATCTCATCGTTTATGATGAAAAAACTCACACCCTGGTGACTTTGGAGTGTGAGTAGTTTTGCCCCATAAAAGTTCTCGGATGAAAAGTGTTGATGGAAATTCCACCATGGGAGTCCTGCTGGTATGTTTCAGACACTAAAAGTTCCATTTAGGACGTGTGATTAGTTGTATTTCCATTTTATTATCGTAAAAAAATTTTCTGTTGCATTGAAAACATTTTCCAGCAACTATAATTTCACGTGCTTCTGAACACCAGGAAAGTCACTGTTCCCTAGATTAATGCAAATTTTTGATTTTAAAGAATCCAGTTATATTCAGGTTTCCGCCATGCTGGCAGATGAAATTAGATCATCAGCAGTTTCTGTCATAATTGAAGAAAATGGTCATTGTCTTGGAGGTTATTGAAGAAATTGCTTTTTTGAAAATGAAATATGTTATTGTTGGAAAAGGGACATAGAGATCAGTGGAGGAAAATTTATGAGATGGGATAGTAAGGTAGTTGGGGGGGGGTAGCAACACACCACAACTCAGTACAGGCAATATCAAACACATCACAAACACTACAATTACACTACACAACCACAACACACTACAGCACAACTCATCTACACACACAACACACTACAGGGTTCGCCCGACCACCACAATACCACAACACACAACACATAACCGCAATATACCTACTACAAACAAAACCATACAAACACCAGCAAGAACAGCACTCAGAACCACAGCACACCACCAGAACATACCACAACATACACCACAATACGACAACAAACAGAACCAGAGAACACACGCCCACAACACACAGCATACCACGCCACTTTCCCGACCCTGTAAGAGATCGCGGCAAAAACAAAAAAGAAAACCTATCAACCATAGAAAGGGTGAAACAATCTCTCTTTTCCCCCTAGGATCGACACAATTTTCGAGGGTCGCCATGCTCAGTGTTGCACTGGTGGACTCTGATCTTTTGAGTGCAGATGAAGATCTCGTCTGTATTGTCATCTCTAACAGACGGTCCACATACCGCACCTCTAAATTAATTTGAGACTATGGATGAAGTTCCGGGAAGAATCTAGCAGCGAGCCTGGGTGGTTGCGGGTATGGTTTATGATGGTTTTTAATGTTAGTGTGTGCTTGTTGGGGAGGTGGTTATGGTTTTAATTTACACGTTGATATTGTTACTGTTGTTATTACGTTGTTGCCATTGGTTGTTTTCACCGTTGTATTGTTAATGTTGTTGTTGTACAAGGATGGTATTACAATACAAGACAAGATGAAAGTAATGACATATGTGCAAATCTGGGTAGCTTTATTGTATAGACTGCGTTCGCATCCAGTGGTTTATCAATACAAATTCAGGACATAACCTTGAAGATAGTAGAACTATGTACAGAAGATGAGGTATTCAAGTCCCCAACTAGGAGTTGGTGCGAAGAGCACCGTAAGTCGTGGAGATCTGAAGCAGAAGCAAGGCGCCTGACGCTTATATACTACCGTCATGTGGAAATGGAAGGGTAAGCAGACGAGAGCCTAGTTCACTGGAGAGTAGGCGGAGATTCCCCAGTGGGAAGTAGGTCCTACCCAAAGAGATGCGGTTGTTGTAGTAGTAGTTGTCGTAGTCGTGAAGGTTATGTACATGTCCTCAGAATCAAGATTCCATGTTGTTGCAACATCATGGAATCTTGACTTTGAGGGGACATGTACATAACCTTCATCGACTACGATAACTATACTACCAAGTTGTTGTTGTCATTGTTGGCTACGTTGTTATTGCTACTGTTACCATTGTTGGTGCGTTGTTTATTGTTCCTGTTACCCATTGTTGTTGTTGTTAACTTCCTCAGAACGTCCTATTCGCATCGGCTTCAAATTTTCAACCCCTGGTTAAACTATTATTATATGAAAGACATAGAATATATGAATGTGGTCAATGAGTAAAGCTGGTATACTTACTGTATGTACCTGTGTATGAGTACATATGGTTTATGTATCATAAAACGTATGCATATGTAATGCAAGTATATAGTTTGTGTGCAGAACACACTGCGAAAAAATAGTGAAATTTCAAGGGCTTTTGTGATTTCTCAATTATCTAGGAGATGTTTACTGTGATCTTATTGAATGTTTGTGTATATACGTGTGTATGTTGTGGTGGTTTGCAGGGGTTCGAGTTACCAGCTCTAGCCCACTCTTTGCTGTGCTACTAGGTTCACCCCTATGTGCTCACCAAATTGTGGGGGTAGCAGGTGTCGAAATTCAGCCCCGCCTCTTTACTGATCGCTCTAGGGCCTCTCTCTCTCTCTCTCTCTCTCTCTCTCTCTCTCTCTCTCTCTGTGCTTTCCTGAGCTCTTGTTACACCTACGTCTTAAAGCTATGTATGGTTCCTGCCACCACAGTGTCACTTAAAGGCAACTCCACTTCCTGGAGCAACTTATGATGAAAAAATATTCCATAACATCATTGTGACTCGTCTGAGTCTTCAGCTTTCATTTGTGACCCCTTGTTTCTTGTCCCTCTTCCGGAACATCCTTTCTCTGTCCACCTTGTCTATTACACGTCAGTTCTTTGTATGTCATTATCATGTCTCCCCTTAGCCTTCTGTCTCAGTGTCGTCAGTCCATTTCC